AAATTCACAACTAAACTCAAGAACATCGATGAACGCCTTCATCCTTGCCTCTTTTCTCCTCTTTTCTTTTCTTGTCTCTTCTTGAACTCTCAACTAAAACCCAAGGTGTGGATTAAGATTTAAAAACTGAACCCAAAAGTATTAGACCCATAAAATATTACTAAAAATGAATTAAATCTGATTGGGTAAGGAAAAGACCAAAATATCCCTCACTATTTTCGGCTTACTTTTCTTAACTGGACAGCCTAACTTCAAAAGATCATATCTCACTCACCCGGACTCAAAATTTAGCAAACTCGGTGTCTTAGGAAATATAATTCAATGATATTTCCTATGGTATCTTTTAGCACAACTAACTCATCCTGTGCTAGAAGTTATGATCGTCTGAAGTTGACCCAAAACTCATACCTAGTTTAACTTGCGAAATTTCAGATTTTGCTATTTCCAATTAAATTCTTTTTGGAACTCTTGGTGTTACTTATAGTGACCTGAACTTAATACTTAATAAATTTTAATTCCTTGGTAAAAGCTCACTCACTACGATGAACGATTCGAATCTTAGCTCGAAAAAGAAACTCAACAACTCTGGACAAGAGTTAAGTCTAATCCTCCGCAAAAGGAACACATCCCTTCAACTAATAAGAACTCTCTTTTTTTGACAAACTTTATACTCTATATTTTCTATTATGTGTTGTGTGTTCAAACCAAATGAAGATCACAAGTATTTATACTAGAAGAAGTCTTCCTAGCAACGAATAGAAAGATAATGGTGTAATAAATAGTGAAAATAATGGTCTTAGGAGTTACATATGTTACAAGGTATAATGGAGGAATAAAGAATCAAAAATGAGTAGTTACAAAAGTTATGTTGGCTGAAAGATGAAAGCCAACCGGACATTCAAGAAAATAATTGTAACATATGCAGTAACTCCAAAATGGGGTAATGCTCTAATCTAGAAGTAATTGTCATTACTTCTATAGCATGTGAACAAGTCAACCAAACGGCCAGAGACATTTGTGACTGTACAATTAATATTCTTTATAATATATTAAAATGCCACACTAACATAAAGTGTAATAATTAACAACTTAAAGATATTTTAAAATTTTAATTGACTCTGAATTTCATATACATCATGCAATTGAGATAGAGAGAAACATATATTAGTTTAAAACAAAAAAAAAATATTATAAATTATAATAATTAACAATTTAAAATTTATAGAAAAACCTTTTTTAAAAATTTAGTTGGCTCTCTAAATTCAACTATTTTTGAGAATTAGGCATCATGCAAGGTCAGATGGTTATCACTTATTCCATTATCCTTTAAGCCACACCCTTAGGTGCAAGATGGAGCATGATATTCTTAAGTGAGATAGTTGTAATTTGTAATAGCTTCAATTCTTATAATCGTGTATGCTCTGACCTCTATTCGTTTGATTATGATATTAGTGTTGGGTGGTCTTGGGCCTTCTCAACCCAAAAGCTAGCTCAAAGGTTGAGGCTTTCCTTCACACTTATAAATTGACCACCAGCCCCTTCCACTTCCAATGTGGGATAACCCAACAATCTCCCCCTTCACACATCGGGCCTTGGGCTGGAGAGAACGACAACCCAGTATCTCCCGGTGGGCTGAGACTTGTTGACAACCTAGGCTCTGATACCAATGTTGGGTGGTCTTGGGCCTTCTCAACCCAAAAGCTAGCTCAAAGGTTGAGACTTTCTCTAACACTTATAAATTGACCACCAGCCCCTTCCACTTCTGATGTGGGATAACCCAACAATTAGTTACTTGAGGAATAAAATACGTCCACGAGAGAATGAACAATGACTAACATTCTGTTACTTTTCTTGTTTTGCCAGGATGTAGGTTTATGGTTAGAAGAAATAAAGCTTGGTAGCTATCGTTGAATTTTCAAAGAAAATGGTTTTATTTGAAGTTTGGACTTATTCACTTTCCAATAGGTGTGATTGTTCCATGCACTTCTATATAAGTTTTCTTGTATAATAATTGTTGAAATATCTGAACGCATAATAATAGGTGATTCTTGAATAAATCGAACCAACTCTGCACGTTAAAGTGATTTATTTGTGTACAACAATTCCTATTGATGCCTCGACTCTTAGATTTCAAACTAATTTGGGATTTAATTGCCCATGTTAAGGGGAAACCAAGCAAGAGACCATTAATTATTTTTTTTTATACCTAGTGATCTAGAAAAAAGAGTTTGGGATTAAATCACCGTTGATGGCTCTTTAATTGAATTTTTAATGAGTTATTATATAAAATTAAAAAAAAAGTATTTTTATACACAAATAAATTGTTCTTAAAATTTATTGTTTTAAAAACAACACAACAAATCAAATAGTTAACATAATGGATCTTATTATAACTTATAACTTATCGCAACTAACTAATCATATTATAATTTGAATACAACTAACTAACCCTATAATAATTTGAATTCAACTAAAACTTTTATCTTAGTAATTAATAATCCCTTTCCTAATAGGAATTTGAATTCAACGAAATTTTTTTATCTATAGTAATTAATTAATAATCCCTTTCCTAATAGGAATTTGAATTCCACAAAAGCGTTTATAGTAATTAATAAATCCTTTTCGAATAGGAAATAAATCATAGTAATATATATACAAGCCCCTTACCTAAAATTTGTTTCAAAAAGTAATCAAAACTACAATGAATAAAATTAGGTGCGTGGAAGCTGCTAACATGAAGAAGAAGAAAGAAGACTGGGAACTTGATCCTTCAAAACTTACTGTCGGACACTTAATTGACTTTGGAGGTTATGGGGCAGTTTATAAAGGCATTTACGACGATAAAGAAGTCGCAGGTATAATTAATTAATTACTAATTTTTTATTAATGTTTATACATATACTTTCCAATTTGTTTTTAGCGCGTTTCTTGAATATTGTTGTTAAACTGAATATAGTTTTGTACATTATTTTTGAATATTATTGTTTATTAGAATGCATATAGTAAAACTTTATATATAGGGGTTACGTTTCTTGAAAACTATATATATCAGGGTTACATTTTTTGAATATTGTTGTAAGAATGATTATAGTAAAAATATATATATATTAGGGTTACTTTTCTTGAAAACTATATATCTGACGGTTACTTTTTCTTGAATATTGTTGTTAGAATGATTATAGTAAAATTTTATTAGTGTTAGGTTTCTTAGAAATATTGTTATTAGAATGACTATATAGTGATTGTTATGTTTCTTGAATATTGTAATTTTACCATGTTATCATGGGAAACTTAGAGAGGTTGAAAAAGTAATATGTATTTATCAAAATTTTAATTAACACACATGATGAATTTCAGTTAAAATGTTTGATTTGAGAGATGATTCAATAGAAAAAAAGCGGATGGAAGAGG